GCTACGACCAGTATGGGGCTTTGCTCAGCACCAGTTGCAGCCTATGGGGAGGCCCAACTCCAGCATGGCTGGTAGGAGCCTGGAAGGGAGCGTGTGTGGGCTGAGGTAATGGAAAACAAGGCCGGGATGGGTGGTGGTTCTGGGCTCCTCGCCACCCAGACGATCCCTCGGGGCGACGTTCATGCTGGAGCACTCTCTGTCCTCCCCTCCTCTGGTAATCTTACCAAATGCCCCAGGCTGTGTCCTGTCCTTCCAATGGGCCGTTACTGACTGGCAGCCAACCTCTCCCAGCTTTTCCTTCCCTCGTTCCCTGCAGAACAAGCAGATAGATTCCTCTTAACATTACCCCAAAGGAAGACTGAAGACTGGATCCTACTTGGGAAATGTCATAGACGAAGCTGCAGATGAATTTGGTGGTTTGGAGCTCAGCGTTCGATGGAGTGCCTTCATTCCCTGGCTCGCTCTAATGGGCAGTAGGTCCTGGCAAGCAGCAGTGCACACAACTCGTTGCGATGAGTGAGGCTGGAGGTTTTGTGATCTGGTATTCATTAGGGGTTGCTCGGAGTCCTGACTGTGATCTGATGGAAGGGGGAGCAGAGCTTGCGTGGCTGGGTGCATGAGAACAAGTAGGGCTGAGGGCTGGCCTCATCTCTTCTCAGTGGGGCAACCCTGGGCTGTACCTGCTGCTTTTTGCTTTTTCTTTAACCTACACTGATGCTTTTGGAAGCAATCCCATGTGTTGTGTTGGATCAGCTCTTTGGTGTCTGGCTGTTGGTTGTCTGTCATACAAGTGGCTCTTGTAAGAGAGGATTTGAGCTATGCTTTATTTGGATGAAATAAGTAAATAAAAATATATAACATGTTAATTAAGATGTTATAAATGTGTGTGTAGAGACAGCTCAGTGCTCCTAATCGCGTGCATGGGCTGTTTTGGGATGAGTTCTGTGTTCCTTACTTTCTTTCTTCAGAAACATTCTTCCCTTGTGCCATATCTATGAGCTCTCCCACTCAGAAGAGCAGGAAAGGGAGAGTGAAGGGGCATGGAAAGGAGTTTGAAGTGCAGGGGATGGCCCTGTTGCTGTTCTTATGAGGTCTGAAGAGCTGCAGAGGTAATAGGGCTGCGAGGTGGTCCCGTAAGGGGGGTTGCTTGGTTGCTCTGTCCTGAAGCCCACCATGAGTTGCTCCTAATCGTGTCTGTGCTGCTCTGGGGTGGCACAGACCGTGTGTGGCTGTGTGACTTCTATGTGCAGCTCTGCCCTGAGGTTCAGCAGGGACAGGTCCTTGCCCAGAGGAGGGGGCTCCAGGGCTGGGCTTGTGATGGGGACTTGCTGGAGACAGCTTAATTCAGGAGACCTCAGTTAAAGAGGTTTATGTTTAAGAGCTGTTGAGCTGCAAAGCTCCGAGTTAAGGAAATATTAAGTTTTGAAGCTTAACAGCTAGTGATTTTTTTTTTTAAAGGAAAAATGAAACCATGGAGGAATATAAATCCAAGGAGCCAAGCCCTAGGATTTAGCGCAGTGCGAAGGCTGGGATTTCCCATGGTTTGTGTGGGGATGTCTGCAGAGGTCTGTCCATTCTTGCCCCCCAGAAGCACTCCAGCAGCTGCCATGTGCTCTCCTGAGGAGCTGCAGTGCTCATGGGTGGTGGGAGCATGGAGAGCCCATGGGAGCACGGTGTTGCTGTTCTGTCTGTGCACCAGGAGCCCCGGCAGCTCTCAGTGTAGTGCTGCTGGGCGAAAGGATCTCCTGTTGTGGGCTGTGCTGTAGTCTAAAATGGAAAGCTGAGGGATGTGCTAAAAAACAAGAAAAAACCTTCCACAAAGTTCTGGCGCCTGCGTAAACAGCATTCCATCTGAAATCAAAGCAACCTTGTGAGGAGAAGCAGTGATGGTCCTGAAGGCGAGTGCTGAGTGCCACACGTGCGCCCCAGGGTGAGTATCCTTGGTGGGGTCTGGTGGCAAGTACTGCTCCCATGCAGCTGCCTGCAGGATTCTGTCCTCATGGATGCATTCACTTAGGAAGGACAGTGCGGCCTATAAATCTGTATCCATGTGCAGTGCTCCTGTGTGGCCGTGTGCTTTGGGCCCCTGGGCTTCAGCTCCCAGCTGAAGCTGTGTCCTGCTTTCCTCCTGCAGGGCTGTGACTGAGCATCACAGTGCTGGGCTCAGTTCCTGTCCTCCCAGGGACACACTGGGGTTTCTCTGAGCTCTTCTGGCAGTGTTCGCATTGTGTCCCCCCCATTGCCTGGCTCATCTGCCTGGGAGAAGTTTCTAAGTCCCCTATGGCCTCTGTAAGGTTGATGTATGTGGGCTGGGTATGGACAGAATATGTGTCCCTATATGCATTGTGTCCCTTTTTAATGTTGTCTTGCCTTTTACAGATGGCTTAAATTGTGGAAATCCCCCACAAGAGAAACTTCAGTGAGAATCACTCATGGATGTGACCCAAGGGAAGAGACTGAGAATCAGATGGAGTGAAAGCAGCATGGGTTCACCGTGGGGCTGAGCTGTGCAGCCCAGCTGCTCTCTGCAGCATGACCCTGTGCTTTCCTCTTCCCTGCAGGAGGAAGAGGCCCCTGGTTGCAGGACATACCAGGTCATGGAAGGGAACCTCAGTAGCCCTGTGAGTTGTCTGGGGCTGCTCAGTGGGGCTGCTGGGAGGCAGCAATGGATTCAATAGGCCCCAAGGCCCCGCAGGATGTTCTCTTAATTAGGGATTTGCATATGAGGCTGAAAGGCAGCAGCCCTGGGGACTGATGGGAAGCACACTGCTGGGCACACATCTACCTACCCAATATGCTGCTTCATGGAAAAGTGATGAGAGAGCTGCTGGGTGCGCCCAAATCTGCACCTTGGTTCAGCTGCACGGAACCAGTAGAGTGAGCTGTGGTGCTCATGGGATCAAGGAGAGGCCTTCAGCGGGGGAAGCAGGTAGGGGACAGGCTGCTGCCCTTTATGTCTGTGTATGTGCATGCACTACGATGCACGCATTCCTTGCACTGTACAGCCAAGTGGTGTTCTGGTTTTTCCACCTTTTCTGTTCTCTGTGCTCAGCTGTGCTCCGCAGGGCAGCTTGCCAGGGATGCTCTGCGTTACTCTCCAGGTAACTACTGGGATCGTAAGACTGGGGGAGGGCTTGTCATGCTTCTGAGGCATAAAACGTGGATCTTCTTGAAGTAAACATCCCGTTTCTGATTTCAATAGGATATCTTCAGCATTAAAACACAAATCCTGCTGCGCGCTCCTTGCTACCACCACCAGCCCTGTGCTCCTGGCAGCTCTCAGTCTGTGAGGTGGGGGTCACTTCTCTCTGTGCCCCCCTGGCACTTTGTCTTTGGGACCCAGAGGTGTGGGGCTCCAGCATCACCACTTTGCCCACCCGGTGACAAGTCCCAGGGGTTGTGAAGCTCTGCAGGGAGCTGCTGGCAGCAAAGGTAGGGCCCCACTCTGCATCCCCTCCCACTGGGTCATGAGCTGCGCTAAATCCCCTCTGCCCATGTGTGGCTGCTCGCCCTCAGAGAGGCAGGGCAGGGAGGGGAGCTGTGTTGTGCCACACATGAGCGATTTGGGGTTTTTGTGGTCCAGGAGGAAGGAGCAAATTTCACTTTTGCAAGCATTCAGCTCAGCGACAGCCCCGCGGTGCTGCGGGGCGGTGCAGGCAGAGCTCGGTGCTTTTGGGGCTCACACATGGGGGGCTCAGCCTCTGCTGCAGAGCCCAGCTGTGCTGCGTTGCCCAACCCATGGGGCTCAGGGCCTCCCCAGCAGCTCCAGGGCTGCATCCCATGAGTTGTTCCCTGTATTGGGCTCTGCATTTCCCATGGAGTTTACAGGGCCTTCAGTGGAGTCAGAGTGGGGAAGAAATACTGGAGGGGGGAGGGGGATGCAAAGCAGTGCGTTGGGGCCCAGCTGCTGTTAAAAAGCAAGCAGGGAATATGTGGAATATTTTCCTGGCTAATCTGGGAGGATGCTGAAGAAGCTCTGTCACTGCTTTTGAACTTGTTGGGGTTTTCTGTGAGCTACAGGTGGGACAGCACCGTGTGGTGTGGCCTGCAGGTGATGTGATCTGAAGGGAGGGGGGAAGATGCTGCAGGCTGTCCCCATGGGTGTGTGCTCTGACGTGCACCGTTACTCGAGTATTTGGAAAGCTGGCGGTTATGAGCTATGGTTATGTTCTCACTTAATAAGGTGTTAACTGACGTTAGGCTCTCTTCTGAGAGTTGGAATATGCTGGAGGTTTGCAGTTCCCGGCGCTTCGTCTGCTCGGAATGAGCTCTCGGAGACGGGCAGGCACTCACCGCGCGCTCCCAACGTGTGATTTTTTTTTCATTTATTCCGGAAAAAAAGCAACCCAAACCATATTTCTATATAGAATAAGAGCGCAGAAAGGCGAAGAGGGCCGCGGTGCCGGCTGCGGTGCGGCGGAACGGCCGCTGGAGGGCAGGCGAGCCGTGCGGAGCAGAGCGGGAGGCAGCGCGGCCGCAGGGCGAGCGCTGCGCGGGGCGAAGCCGGCGACGGGACCCGGCCGGGAGCGGGGGCGATGCGAGCGCGGCGGGGGCGGGGGCCGCAGCCCGAGCCCGGGGGGGGCCGCGCCGAGAGCCGCGGGGGCGACGCTGCCGCCCGCCCGCCCGGGGCTCTCCGGGACGCGCCGCGCTCCGCCCGCCCGAGGTAAGAGGCGCCGGGATCCGCCGTCCCCCCCC